TCCTAGCCAGTTAGCTACCGTGGGTAAATCTAAATTTCAGAGAGCACATGGTGTCTGCGACAGTTAATATTAAGGACGCTGTTATAGAAAATATAACACAGTCCCACGACAATGCTTCTACTTTAAGTAGCAACAGTATACTTTTTACTAACCATAATTTAAACTAAAAAACACGACAACAGAAAAGTCTAATCGTTTCTATATAGTAGGTACATCAAAATATTCAAGGCTTTTCTGGCAAAACATTAGAAATAAGTCTTTTTTTGCACGATATTTCCGTTGACGTGTTTTGTGTTACAGAGCACTGGCTGAAAGACTACGAAGCAATTAACAACATAGAAAATTATGTAATAGTCAGTTCGTTCATAAGAAAGAGTTTAAGTAGAGGCGGATCCATGATTATTATTAAACGTAACTTAAAATTTAAAGAGCGTAAAGATATCACAGATCTTTCTACTGAATGAACAATTGAGATTTCATGTGTGGAATTGGATCAGTTTGTCGTCTTATGTGTATACAGGCCCCCCTCTGCTAATTTTAACGAGTTTGAATTAATTATGGAAGACAGTTTAAAGCGGATTTTTCCAACCAAAAAAAAACATAGTAATATGTGGAGATTTCAATGTAAACCTGTTGGAAAACTGTTCTACTTCTGTAAGACTCATTAATTTATTTAAAAGTTTCAACTTGATACATCTTTTCTTAGAACCAACTCGCATCACTGCCTCCTCTTCTACTTGTATTGATAACATCTTTTGTAATACAGACGCAGTGTCTAAATCAATAATAAGTTTCTTAAGATCAGACCATGGTGGCCAATTGGCTTCTTTTAAATGTAAAATGAGCAAGAAGGTAGACCAATTTTTCTGCAGACCGATTACCACAGAACGAATCATTAGATTTCAAAATAATATCGGCAATAGTTTAAATTCCCTACCCCATAGGTATACCGGAGGTTCCAAATACTTTATATAGCACGATATTTGGTTTAATTAAAAATGAATTTGATAATATATTTAAATCGAAAACATTAACTTTTCATAGAGAGACTAAATTCAACGACTGGGCAACAGTAGGTATTCATAAGAGTAGGTCTCGTTTGTATGAGCTATATGCTATGAAAACTTATAATACTAATTCCAATTTCATAGAATATGTTAGAATTTATTCAAAAATATTTAAAAAAGTATGTGTAGCTGCTAAAGTTAAGTTTCACAGCGACAAAATTAGACAATCGATAAATAAATCTAAAACTACTTGGAGCATAATAAACAAAGAGTCAGTCAGGGTTAAACAACACGATAGAAATATAGTTTAGAATTAGACAGTAAACTTATAAAATCTAAAGATAAAGTAGCCCAAGCTTTTGAATCGTTCTTTTCGGAAATTGCTGTGAACACTACAGAATCATTAAATTCCTCCCCTTCACTTGCTATTGATCTCCTAAAGGAAAATGTTAACGTTTGTGGCAGTTTATTTAATTTCCGTCATGTTAATCCACAAGACATCATAAAAGCTTTTAAATCAATACATGTTAAAAAAACTGAAGATCTCTGGGGCATATCAACTAAAGTTATAGACTTAGTTATTGATCTTATTTCCCCACATTTAGCTGTAGCTTTCAATAGGTGCGTTGACAAAGGTGTTTTTCCCGATTTAATGAAATACAGCAAGGTTATTCCTTTATTCAAAAGCGGTAAAAAAGTTGATCCTAGCAACTATAGGCCCATTTCAATTTTACCAGCTTTAAGTGAAATATTCGAAAAGGTTATGCTGACTCAATTACTGTCCTATTTCGGTAGGAATTATATTTTTCATAGTGAACAATACGGGTTTACTAGTGGTAGAACGACTAGCGAGGCGGGGGTAGCGTTACTAAAACACATCTTTGATGCTTGGGAAAGGTCCCAGAACGCTATTGGTATTTTCTGTGACCTCTCAAAGGCATTTGATTGCGTTGATCATATTACTCTTATTAGGAAGCTGGAACATTACGGTGTAAATGGCAAGGCGTCGAAACTTGTCTCGTCATATCTCAACGGTAGAATTCAGAAAGTAGTCATAAATGGTGTGACTTCTTTGGGTTCTCCGGTAAAAATGGGCATTCTTATTTCTGATTTATATTAATGATCTGCCATTCTTTGTTAAGGACCATTGCGAAATAGTGTTGTTTGCTGATGATACATCCTTGATTTTTAAAACAGACAGACATGACATCAACTATGACCATATTAATGATACCCTCTCTAAGGTAGTTTATTGGTTTAATGCTGACAATTTATTGCTTAATGCCAAGAAGACAAAATGTGTTAAATTTGAATTAGCTAACGTAAAATTGACTAGTCCAAGCATAGAAACGAAGAAAAGTTAGACTTTGTTAATAAAGCAGTCTTCTTGGGAGTGACCTTAGATAGTAAACTTCAATGGTTTCCACATATATCTTCCCTGGCCAGCAGGTTAAGCTCCGCTGCATACGCAGTCCGCAGAATACGTGAGCTTACCGATGTTAGTACTGCTAGACTAGTTTACTTTAGTTACTTCCATAGTATAATGTCCTACGGGATTCTCATGTGGGGTAAAGCGGCAGATATTCAAACCATATTTGTATTGCAAAAACGAGCGATTCGTCCTGTGTACCGTCTAGGCTCTCGGATTTCTTTCAGAGAAAAGTTTAAGGAGACTGGTATCATGACTGTGGCATCACAGTACATTTACTCAAATATTTTATATGCTCGTAAAATATACATAATTTCAATAAGAAAGAAGATATCCATAATATTAACCTTAGAGCTAAGTCCAAACTCATACCACGATTTCGTTTAACCAAGGTAAACAGCTCTTTTATGGGGAACTGTATACGTTTTTACAATAAGATTCCGGAGCATATATTAAGTTTATCATGTCATAAGTTTAAAAACTACATAAAAATATTTAGATCGAAAAATCATATTACAAAATTGAAGACTACGTGTTAGATAAAGATGTACGGAAAGACAACATGGCTCCAGAATCCACACAAATTTGATTCAAAGTGTATTCCATACCATTTAAGTTTATTTGAAAAGAGCAATCCCTAGAGTTTCTTGCTTGTTCTTCTCAGGGAGGTCAGCGTAGTGAACGAGCAGTAGCTTAAATATGACGATTTCAAGTGTAAATTTATTTTACCTATGGAATAAATAATCTTTGACTTTGACTTTGAGTAATCATCTGGCAGGGGAACTTCAGCATATAAAGCAAGTCCTACATGCGAATAAGTTGAAGATTCCACGCCAATGCCGCAGGCCCCGTGTGAAACCACCAACAGTCGAGCGAAGACCTGCCATCTTACCTTACGTGAGAGATGTTACAGACAAGATCGGAAGAGTCCTCAGGCGTGCATCTATCAAGACCTATTTCAAGCCCCTGCAGAAGATTTCTCAGTTCCTGAGACCCGTGAAATGTAACATCCCCTTACAGGATGCAGGAGTTTACAAGCTAGACTGTGAGTTCGGTCTCTCTTATATTGAACAAACAAAGCGAAGTATTTGTACCCGCGTCAAAGAAAATATAGCTGATGTCAAACACCGTCGCGTACACAAGTCTGCAGTCTGCGAGTATGTCATGGATAAACCTACACATTCAATGAAGTTTGACAGACCCCAGGTCCTTGCAAAAGAAGTCCGTTATCTACACAGGATGCTGCGAGAGGCCATTGAAATTAAAAAATATCCTAATTTCAGCAGGGAAGATGGTTTCTCCGTACCACCAGTTTGGGATCCAGTATTAAATAAAAAAATAAAAAAAAAGGTAAATCCCAAACAGACATAAGACTGCAGTACTAATTAATATGTTTTAGTTTATTCTAATTTCTATTAATAATAAATTGAACTTAATAAAAATTCATTCAATAAAATAATTTATAAAGCTTAATGTAGCGTAAATTGGAAAGTTTTCTTTGTAAAATTAAAAATAAGGTATTTAATTAATAACTATTGTAACTATAGTGAAAAAATAGGGTGGTTTGCATCAATATTAGACATAACTGGTTGAAGACTGTACCACCTCAGTCAACCGTGACCATGGGACCTGTAAAGGGCCCGAAACGTGGGTTTGTTTGAAAAAACAAATATACGCGATTTAAATCCGGAAAAATGGTTTCATTTCCTATGTGTAACAATCGCGAAAACCTAAGAACTCGATATTCGATAGAAGTTTTAGAAGATCGTATGATTCCTATCCGAACAATTAGAAGGCTATAGGAAGCGTTTGCCCTATAATTACTTGACAAAAGTAGTAGTTAATAGCAGTAGAGCTTCTTGTGAAAGAGTTCATCCAGGGAAGTGCTGCCACCTTGCCTATTTCTGCCGCCAAGCAGTAACGTGAGCATTAGCTGCTGCGTCCGGTTTTGATGGGTAAGGGTGCTGGTGAAATTACAGGCACATGGGACTTGTAAACTTATGTCTCAGGGTGACGCACGCAGTGCACCTCAGATCTTTGTAATTTAAAGCACTGAATGGCACTGCAACTGTTATGGACAGGCGTGTCGCTTACCATCAGGGGCGCGACTTGTCTGTTTCGTCACTTAGTTGTCATAAAAGAAATGCATGCCAAATGTCAGTTTACTTGAACAAACTTACTTGCTTACATGCTTGCTTGCGCGCGAGCTTGCATGCATGCGAAAGCGAAGTTTCTTAGATGTTGTACAATGATACACCTAATAATGTACATATTTCGTTTGATCCAAAAGGATATAGCGGCAAATCATTGTCTGAGTCACAGCGAAGAAATAACTTATCTGTCTTTTAATGTTTAGAATAATTGATAAATAGCAACGCAAATCATAAATATTTAGGGAACATGCGTTAAAAATACCTGTGACAAAATTTATTTAAAAATGTAGTAGGTAATCGTGTTTTCAGAAAATGATGAAATAGGTAATAATGCAAAGTCACGCATGATAGTATGCATTCCTCACTAAATTAAGTAAGTTATAATATGACGATGAGGAATGTTGAAAAAACTGTCGCGGTTCAAGTTGGCGTGACGTGCAGCCCTTGCTGCCAGCGCCTGCGCCGCTATCGCCCCTCGTCCTTTGATAGCCATGTCGCTAGCGAACGGTGTAAACGTGGCTGCTTTAATCTAATCGTGATAAATGATAAACAGGGAACATTGAAATAAAGGAGCCAAGTGAAGGCAGGGGCAGATAACAAGTCATGTAAATGTTCTTCTGTTCGTTTTTTTAATTAATTAAAAATCACCGACACAGAGAAATATCGCTCGTCGATCTCATCGAGTTCAATCAACACTGAAATTGTAGTATGATCATTGATCAGTTATTGGAAGTACTCGGCGCGTAGGATTATTGTCAAAACAAATCAGCGATCTTTTGGGCTCCGCGTCACCCGCCTTATCGCGATAAGGCGCGGCGCAGCGGCCGAGAGCCGCCAGTGGCGGCGATACGGCACTATGGAGCACCCGCGACTCTACCACACGTTTACGCGCCAACAGTGGGAAGCTGTGTTGGTAGTGAGTTGTCTCGCGTGTACGTCCATTATATATATGTAAGCGGCGCGGCTATTATCGAAACATTTGTTCCGCAGCAAATGTCGGCACAGTTGGGTCGCGAGCGAAGCTCGGTGGGCGA